TAACACTGAGTCTGCAGACGCTGAAGCTGTAGCTCTAGTTTTAACACTGAGTCTGCAGACGCTGAAGCTGTAGCTCTAGTTTTAACACTGAGTCTGCAGACGCTGAAGCTGTAGCTCTAGTTTTTACACTGAGTCTGCAGACGCTGAAGCTGCAGCTCTAGTTTTAACACTGAGTCTGCAGACGCTGAAGCTGTAGCTCTAGTTTTAACACTGAGTCTGCAGACGCTGAAGCTGTAGCTCTAGTTTTAACACTGAGTCTGCAGACGCTGAAGCTGTAGCTCTAGTTTTAACACTGAGTCTGCAGACGCTGAAGCTGTAGCTCTAGTTTTTACACTGAGTCTGCAGACGCTGAAGCTGTAGCTCTAGTTTTAACGCTGAGTCTGCAGACGCTGAAGCTGTAGCTCTAGTTTTAACACTGAGTCTGCAGACGCTGAAGCTGTAGCTCTAGTTTTTAACGCTGAGTCTGCAGACGCTGAAGCTGCAGCTCTAGTTTTAACACTGAGTCTGCAGACGCTGAAGCTGTAGCTCTAGTTTTAACACTGAGTCTGCAGACGCTGAAGCTGTAGCTCTAGTTTTAACACTGAGTCTGCAGACGCTGAAGCTGTAGCTCTAGTTTTTACACTGAGTCTGCAGACGCTGAAGCTGCAGCTCTAGTTTTAACACTGAGTCTGCAGACGCTGAAGCTGTAGCTCTAGTTTTAACACTGAGTCTGCAGACGCTGAAGCTGTAGCTCTAGTTTTAACACTGAGTCTGCAGACGCTGAAGCTGTAGCTCTAGTTTTAACACTGAGTCTGCAGACGCTGAAGCTGTAGCTCTAGTTTTTACACTGAGTCTGCAGACGCTGAAGCTGTAGCTCTAGTTTTAACGCTGAGTCTGCAGACGCTGAAGCTGTAGCTCTAGTTTTAACACTGAGTCTGCAGACGCTGAAGCTGTAGCTCTAGTTTTAACGCTGAGTCTGCAGACGCTGAAGGTAAAGCTCTAGTTTTAACACTGAGTCTGCAGACGCTGAAGCTGTAGCTCTAGTTTTAACGCTGAGTCTGCAGACGCTGAAGGTAAAGCTCTAGTTTTTACACTGAGTCTGCAGACGCTGAAGCTGTAGCTCTAGTTTTAACACTGAGTCTGCAGACGCTGAAGCTGTAGCTCTAGTTTTAACGCTGAGTCTGCAGACGCTGAAGGTAAAGCTCTAGTTTTTACACTGAGTCTGCAGACGCTGAAGCTGCAGCTCTAGTTTTTACACTGAGTCTGCAGACGCTGAAGCTGCAGCTCTAGTTTTTACACTGAGTCTGCAGACGCTGAAGCTGCAGCTCTAGTTTTTACACTGAGTCTGCAGACGCTGAAGGTAAAGCTCTAGTTTTTACACTGAGTCTGCAGACGCTGAAGCTGCAGCTCTAGTTTTTACACTGAGTCTGCAGACGCTGAAGGTAAAGCTCTAGTTTTAACACTGAGTCTGCAGACGCTGAAGCTGTAGCTCTAGTTTTAACACTGAGTCTGCAGACACTGAAGCTGTAGCTCTAGTTTTAACGCTGAGTCTGCAGACGCTGAAGCTGTAGCTCTAGTTTTAACACTGAGTCTGCAGACGCTGAAGGTAAAGCTCTAGTTTTTACACTGAGTCTGCAGACGCTGAAGCTGCAGCTCTAGTTTTAACACTGAGTCTGCAGACGCTGAAGCTGTAGCTCTAGTTTTAACACTGAGTCTGCAGACGCTGAAGCTGTAGCTCTAGTTTTAACACTGAGTCTGCAGACGCTGAAGCTGTAGCTCTAGTTTTAACGCTGAGTCTGCAGACGCTGAAGCTGTAGCTCTAGTTTTAACACTGAGTCTGCAGACGCTGAAGCTGTAGCTCTAGTTTTAACGCTGAGTCTGCAGACGCTGAAGCTGTAGCTCTAGTTTTTACACTGAGTCTGCAGACGCTGAAGGTAAAGCTCTAGTTTTAACACTGAGTCTGCAGACGCTGAAGCTGTAGCTCTAGTTTTAACGCTGAGTCTGCAGACGCTGAAGGTAAAGCTCTAGTTTTTACACTGAGTCTGCAGACGCTGAAGCTGTAGCTCTAGTTTTAACACTGAGTCTGCAGACGCTGAAGCTGTAGCTCTAGTTTTAACGCTGAGTCTGCAGACGCTGAAGGTAAAGCTCTAGTTTTAACACTGAGTCTGCAGACGCTGAAGCTGTAGCTCTAGTTTTAACACTGAGTCTGCAGAAGCTGAAGCTGTAGCTCTAGTTTTAACACTGAGTCTGCAGACGCTGAAGCTGTGGGCGGCGGAAACACGTGTCCGTCAGGATCCTGTCACTTGTGATTCAGAAGAACGGCTCCAAACAGAACTTTCTGACGCCGTGGATTATCACAAACCGGAGACACTTCCACATCTCTGCAGCCGCAGGCCACGTTTGCCAGGAACACACTGTTGTGTGACATCACCATGGAAACAGTCTGTCCAAACATTAAGACAAACTAACTGTGAATACAGTCTATACAAGTTTACAAACTTAAATACAAAGACATTATTATTTAAAGTCTCTGACTTTGTGGAAAGTCATGAATAATTCACAAGAATGACGTCTTTCAAAACTGTGTGAATGGAAGTTATTCTGGGAACAAAATGACGTGTGTTTGTTTCTGTGGCAGAGGATTTGTGTAAAAGTTATATCTTTGTCGTCCTGAAAACACAAGAATGTTCCTGCAGCTCGTGTCAGAGGGAATCTGCTGAATTCCAAGGTCTTCAAAAATGCAATATTTAAAATGTGATGAAAACCTTTTATGAAAAGATTTTATCATCTCATTGTTTAATGTTTTAAATGTTTTAAAGTCAGTCACACATTTTTGGTACTTTTTGAAAAGTGCAAAGAATGTGTGTTTTAGCGGTTATAAATCCTGTAGGTCCTGTTCATTTTACAGTGTACTGAAAATATTATACACAGAATACATCACATCAGGTTCAAACTACATTTTAATAAGTGTAGTATTATCACAGTACTTTCTGATAAACATACTATCCATAATACAGTAGTTTGGCTTTTTATTCTAATCCCTCTGAGGCTCTGAGGACCAGAACCAGAAGAGACCAGAGAGAGAAAGTACACGACCGTGGAACAGAACAGTTTCCGCAAACCACATTTTACTCCTCACTCATATTTAATGTGAAGCTTTATGATGTCTGCTGTCGTTGTGTCCTTGGGCAAGACACTTAGGCCCCGTCCACACGTAGCTGGGTCTCTGCTAAACCGGAAATATTATTCTTCGTTTGCACCTCTCATCCCCATGACAACGCATCATAAACAAATATATAAAAAACCTCCGGGCAAAGTGGAGATTTTTGAAAAGTCTGTTTATGCATTTGGACAGAGATAACCGGAGTTTTGTGTTTTCTCACGTCACAGTCTTCTCCAAAACAACAACAAACAAAACGACCTCTGACCTCTGAAGAAGGATCTTACTGCCTTAAAAACTGTTCATCCTCCACATCAGAGAGCAGCAAAGTGATCACAGGGACTCACACTCCAAAACAACCAACACAGGAGCTAAACCAGGACTAAACCAGGACTAAACCAGGGCTAAACCAGGACTAAACCAGGACTAAACCAGGACTAAACCAGTACTCAACCAGGACTCAACCAGGACTCAACCAGGATCAAACCAGGACTAAACCAGGACTAAACCAGGATCAAACCAGTACTCAACCAGGAGCTAAACCAGGACTAAACCAGGACTGAACCAGGAGCTAAACCAGGACTAAACCAGGACTAAACCAGGATCAAACCAGGACTAAACCAGGACTAAACCAGGACTAAACCAGGACTAAACCAGCACTAAACCAGGACTGAGTCTGAGTTTCTTCTGTGACTGTAAAAGTGCCGCTACAAAAGAACCGGCGTCTGCATCAAAGCTCCGCCCACTTCAGTGTTTTTCCCCAACGCAGGACGTCAGAGTGATTGAAAACGCAGATGTTCGGTTTATGTTTGGATGCAAATTATTTTATAAACGGAGGGGGGGAAATATTGGGTTTTAAAAATACCCGACTACGTGTGGACGTGGCCTTAACCCCACTTTGCCCGAAGCCCCCACTGAAAGATCTCAGCTCCTGTGGACTCAGCACCTGCAGGAGGATCAGTGAGGGGCTGGTGCTGTGACTGCCACCCCCCGCCCCGACCCAGAAATGGATTAAGGGGAAGAAAATGGATGGATGCTTTCATGGACTGGCATTTACACTTTGCTGAGTTGTAATTATAAGATTTGTAATAGTGAACGCAGCTTTAAATCCAGTCTTTTGACAAGTACGATCTATAAATACAACTTCTCTGCCACTTTTGGAAGGTGTTTGACATTCAGCCCGAGTTCTTTGGAGCGACGATAATGTAAAAGCTGTCGATACAAAAACAGACGAAAAAATCAAGGTAATTTCAAGCTGGGAAAAACGAAAGCTCCAATTAAAATGCAGATTCAGCCTCTTTGAAGTAAAAATAAACCTGTTGTTTTAACTCTGCTGCGAACGAGCCCTGGATGAACATGCATTAAACATGTCAGGAGTGAAGTGAGAAAACGTCTAAGGTCGAGAAAATAAAACATGTTCTTTGGGTTTTTCTTCAAACAACTCGTCTTTCTCCTTTGGTTCGCCGAGACCAGACTTTCTCTCCGATACAATAAAACACCTTTGAGTCATGTGGCCTCGGGGTGGACTTCATAATCCATCCAATGTGTTTATAAATACAGTATAGAGCATCTCAGAAACAAACAAAGCAAATAGAAATGGGATTATTTTTTATCTCCCAAGTCTGACTTAAAAGCAGTCAAATAGAGGAGAAAGTTTGATATACTGCATAACTCTAATGAGAATAAATGTTAAAACAATGTTGTATAAGATGCACTTATCTCTCTGGGATGACGAGGACTCTGCTGTAAATTAAAGCCGGGGGTTGTAACTTTCAAGACTCTACGATTTGATTTTAGTAATAACAGTTGTTCGCAGGGGGCGGGTCCTTCCACTCGTTAGTGATGGAAGGATCATCACCTCATGCAAAGCTCTCCACAACCTGCTCCACCACACCCTCTCATACCCTCCTCCTCTGTCCTCCTCTGTCCCCTCTGTCCTCCTCTCCTCTCTGTCCTCCTCTCTGTCCTCCTCTCCTCTCTCCTCCTCTCTGTCCTCCTCTCTCCTCCTCTCTGTCCCCTCTGTCCTCTTCTCTCCTCCTCTCTGTCCCCTCTGTCCTCCTCTCTGTCCCCTCTCTCCTCCTCTCGGTCCCCTCTCTCCTCCTCTCTGTCCCCTCTCTCCTCCTCTCTCCTCCTCTCTGTCCCCTCTCTCCTCCTCTCTCCTCCTCTCTGTCCTGCTCTCTCCTCCTCTCTGTCCCCTCTCTCCTCCTCTCTCCTCCTCTCTGTCCTCCTCTCTCCTCCTCTCTGTCCCCTCTGTCCTCCTCTCCTCTCTGTCCTCCTCTCTCCTCCTCTCTGTCCTCCTCTCTCCTCCTCTCTGTCCCCTCTGTCCTCCTCTCCTCTCTGCCCCCTCTCTCCTCCTCTCTCCTCCTCTCTGTCCTCCTCTCTCCTCCTCTCTGTCCCCTCTGTCCTCCTCTCCTCTCTGTCCTCCTCTCTCCTCCCCTCTCTCCTCCTCTCTGTCCCCTCTGTCCTCCTCTCCTCTCTGTGCTCCTCTCCTCTCTGTCCTCCTCTCTACTCCCCTCTCTCCTCCTCTCTGTCCTCCCCTCTGTCCTCCTCTCTCCTCCTCTCTGTCCTCCTCTCCTCTCTGTCCTCCTCTCTCCTCCTCTCTGTCCCCTCTGTCCTCCTCTCCTCTCTGTCCTCCTCTCTCCTCCTCTCTGTCCTCCTCTCTCCTCCTCTCTGTCCCCTCTGTCCTCCTCTCCTCTCTGCCCCCTCTCTCCTCCTCTCCTCCTCTCTGTCCTCCTCTCTCCTCCTCTCTGTCCCCTCTGTCCTCCTCTCCTCTCTGTCCTCCTCTCTCCTCTCCTCTCTCCTCCTCTCTGTCCCCTCTCTCCTCCCCTCTCTCCTCCTCTCTGTCCTCCTCTCCTCTCCTCTCTGTCCCCTCTCTCCTCCTCTCTGTCCCCTCTGTCCTCCTCTCTGTCCTCCTCTCCTCTCTGTCCTCCTCTCTCCTCCCCTCTCTCCTCCTCTCTGTCCTCCTCTCTCCTCCCCTCTCTCCTCCTCTCTGTCCCCTCTGTCCTCCTCTCTCCTCCCCCTCTCTACTCCCCTCTCTCCTCCTCTGTCCCCTCTGTCCTCCTCTCCTCTCTGTCCTCCTCTCTCCTCCCCTCTCTCCTCCTCTCTGTCCCCTCTCTCCTCCCCTCTCTCCTCCTCTCTGTCCCCTCTCTCCTCCCCTCTCTCCTCCTCTCTGTCCCCTCTCCTCCTCTCTCCTCCTCTCTGTCCTCCTCTCTCCTCCTCTCTGTCCCCTCTCTCCTCCTCTCTGTCCCCTCTCCTCCTCTCTCCTCCTCTCTGTCCTCCTCTCTCCTCCTCTCTGTCCCCTCTCTCCTCCTCTCTGTCCCCTCTCTCCTCCTCTCTGTCCCCTCTCCTCCTCTCTGTCCTCCTCTCTCCTCCTCTCTGTCCCCTCTCTCCTCCTCTCTCCTCCTCTCTGTCCTCCTCTCTCCTCCTCTGTCCCCTCTGTCCTCTCTCTCCTCTCTGTCCTCCTCTCTCCTCCCCTCTCTCCTCCTCTCCGTCCCCTCTCTCTCCTCCCTCTCCCTCTCCTCCTCTCTGTCCCCTCTCTCTCTCCTCCTCTCTGTCCCCTCTCTCCTCCTCTCTGTCCCCTCTCCTCCTCTCTCCTCCTCTCTGTCCTCCTCTCTGTCCCCTCTCTCCTCCTCTCTGTCCCCTCTCCTCCTCCTCCTCCTCTCTGTCCTCCTCTCTCCTCCTCTCTGTCCCCTCTCCTCCTCTCTGTCTTCCTCTCTCCTCCTCTCTCTGTCCCCTCTCCTCCTCTCTGTCTTCCTCTCTCTCCTCCTCTCTGTCCCCTCTCTCCTCCTCTCTCCTCCTCCTCTCGTCCTCCTCTCTCCTCCTCTGTCCCCTCTGTCCTCCTCTCCTCTCTGTCCTCCTCTCTCCTCCCCTCTCTCCTCCTCTCTGTCCCCTCTGTCCTCCTCTCTCCTCCCCTCTCTCCTCCTCTCTGTCCCCTCTGTCCTCCTCTCCTCTCTGTCCTCCTCTCTCCTCCCCTCTCTCCTCCTCTCTGTCCTCCTCTCTCCTCCCCTCTCTCCTCCTCTCTGTCCCCTCTGTCCTCTGTCCTCCTCTCCTCTCTGTCCTCCTCTCCTCTCTGTCCTCCTCTCTCCAGTCACATTACCAGCCACAGTTGTTTTGTATGAAATATTTTTAAATTACATCCTGTTTTTAACCATGTTTGTACAGTGTCTTTGGGTGTTTTGAACGACCAAGGACACTGTACAAACAAAGGAATAGATACAATTATTATCATCATCATCATCATCATCATCATTATTAGCCTTAACAAATGTAAATTACAACACATTATTATCTGTGAGTCATTGTGTCTGTCCTCCATGTCTCTGAGCCTGTGTCCTTCATGTGCAGGAGAATGTCGTTTCCCCTTTACCTTACAAACACACATATCTGTGAGCGCCCCGGCTCTAAGTGCGACACACACATCTGAAATATGTCCACACAACAGTACTGTCCATGTTCACACTTCTTTGTGGTCTTGGACAAAAGTTAAAATGACAGCAGCACAAACTCTGCATTGTTGCTTCTAAACATTTCCATAGATGTTTCTCTTTTTAATAAACAACTTTCTTTCACAAAAGCGTGCCCTGGCAGCTGCTTCTGTTGTCGCGGAGGCACATTTCAGAAAACACCCACCTTCTCTCTCAGCGTCAGGGATTAGCACCTGCAACAGTCTAATGGGGAAGCACCACAAGCACCACACGGGGCCCTCAGCCCTGGTTTGATCCTGGTTTAGCCCTGGTTTAGTCCTGGTTTAGCCCTGGTTTAGCTCCTGGTTTAGTCCTGCTTTAGTCCTGCTTTAGCCCTGGTTTAGTCCTGGTTTAGTCCTGGTTTAGCTCCTGGTTTAGTCCTGTTTTAGTCCTGGTTTAGCTCCTGCTTTAGTCCTGCTTTAGTCCTGCTTTAGTCCTGGTTTAGCCCTGGTTTAGTCCTGGTTTAGTCCTGTTTTAGTCGTGGTTTAGCTCCTGGTTTAGTCCTGGTTTAGTTGAGCTGCTGCATTTTGAATGTACTGCAGCTGTTTTACAGCCTGTTTGGACAGACCTGTGAGCAGGCCATTGCAGTAGTCTAACCTACTGGAGACAAATGCATGGATAAGAATCTCCAAGTCTGCTTTAGACACTATGTTTTTGATCCTGGAAATGTTTTTAGATGGTAAAAAGCTGCTGATGTTACTGATTTGATGTGGCTATTAAAATTTAAGTCTGAGTCCAGTATTACCCCTAGATTTCTGACCTTGTTTGAAGGTTTTAGGGAGAGAGACTGTAGGTGACAGATGACGCTCTCTCTTTGTTTCTGGGGACCAAAGACAATCATTTCAGTTTTGTCTGCGTTTAGCTGAAGGAAGTTGTTTTGCATCCACTCACTGATCTGTTGGATACAGTGAAGGAGTGAGTCCACTGGTCCATGTTCTCCTGCAGTCAGTGAGACATAGATCTGAGTGTCGTCTGCATAGTTATGATAGGACACTTCGTTTCTGCGTATTAACTGACCTAACGGCAGCATGTAGAGATGGAAAAGAAGAGGTCCCAGGATCGACCCCTGTGGTACTCCACAGGTCAGGGCCATATGATCTGAGACACAGTTTCCAATCTCCACAAAGTACTTCCTGTCTTCAAGGTAAGACCTAAACCAACTTAGGGCGGTGCCAGCGACGCCAACCCAGTTCTCTAGTCTCTGTAAGAGGATCTCATGGTCGACAGTGTCAAAGGCAGCACTCAGATCTAACAGGATTAGGATTGAGACTTTGCCTGCGTCAGTGTTTAGCCGGATATCGTTTGTAACCTTGACGAGAGCAGTCTCAGTGCTGTGGTGGGGTCTAAAGCCGGACTGAAACATATCAAATGAGTTGTTGATTATAAGAAATCTAGTAAGCTGTAGGTAGACAACTTTTTCAAGGACTTTCCCCATAAATGGCAGATTTGAGATGGGACGATAGTTGTTAAGTACCGTAGCATCCAGACTGCTCTTTTTTAGCAGGGGCCTGATGACTGCAGTTTTCAGGGCCTTTGGGAATATTCCAGAATGAAGGGACATGTTTACTATCTGTGTGAGTGAAGGTAACAGACTGCTCAGAACAGACTTTAGAAATCTAGTGGGTAGTACATCCAGGCTACATTTGGAGGCGCTCATACTGGAGATTATCTCTTGGACAGTTTGATCATTTACAGGTGCAAAGTAAGTTAGCTCAAAGAGCCTTTTAGGCTGTTGGATGGTTATCTGTGGATTGGAGACAATGGCGTTTTTGATGCCTTGAACCTTGTCATTGAAAAAATGTGCAAACTCATTACATTTACGTTTGGAAGTTAGCTCTAATGGCATCTGAACAGGGGGGTTTGTTAATCTATTAACTGTTGAAAACAGAACACGCAGATTGTTGCTGCAGCCTTCAATCATTTCAGAAAAATTCCTTTCTCTCGTACTACATAGCACCTGGTTAAACTCGCACAACTTATCTTTGAAGATCTCGTAGTCAACCTGGAGGTTGGACTTGCGCCACTTCCGCTCGGCCCTCCGGCACTTTCTCTTTTGTGCCCTGACCGAGTCTGCTTTAGCCCACGGCGCCTTCTGCTTATTTTTCACTGTTTTAACCTTCACAGGGGCAACGGTATCCAGAACATTCAAAACACTAGAGGTGACAGAGTTAAACAGTTCATCTACAGTAGAATACGATGCATTCTCAAAGTTTATCATTCCCATAAATAGTTCACCCGTATTTTCATTTATGTGTCTTCTTCGTACAGTTGCAGAGTCCACTGGTGGTTTGTTAGTGAAACACATGTCAAAAAATACACAAAAATGATCCGAAAGCGCAACATCGACCACGTTTACATTTGAAATATTCACCCCCTTAGTAACTAACAGGTCTAGACTGTGCCCTCTGCTGTGGGTGGGGCCACTCACATGCTGAGTGAGACCAAAAGATTCAAGAACAGAACTCAGCTCATTTGCATTTCTGTCATCAACATTATCCACATGAATATTAAAATCACCTGTAATAACCAAACTATCAAAATCTGTGCATACAACTGAAAGAAACTCCGTAAAATTATCAATAAATCTGTGACATGACTGCGGTGGCTTGTATAGGACAATGAAGAGTATTGGACTAGATTGTTTTTGTTGTATTTTAAAAGACACATATTCAAAAGACGGAAACTTCCCAAGAGACATTCTATGGGAGACAAAGTGGTCTCTGAAAATGGCAGCTAAGCCTCCTCCTTTTTTGTTTCCCCGTATTTCAGATTCAAATTTGAAATTTGGTGGTGATGCTTCTATTAAAACTGCATTTTCTGTATTTTGGTCAAGCCATGTTTCAGCCATGAACATAAGATCTAGATTATAAGAACAAATAAAATTATTGATTAAAAAAGACTTGTTACAAAGAGATCTGACATTTAGCATAGCAAGTTTCAAAGTTTCAGTATCAGCGGTTGTGGTCGGCTGATTCTTACACGGAACAAGAATTAGATTTTCCTGATTAGACTGATTAACTTCAGATGTTTTTCTGTAATGTATTCTTTGTGTTATCACTAAGGGAATGGCACAGGTGGCTTCATGACAGGGCCCCAGCCGGGTCTCTCCTCTAACTAGACTGCCAGTGGCTGCGAAGCAGAGACCCTGTGCATCCTAGTGTTTAGAGAAAAGAGGGGAAGGGGAAGGTGGGGGAAGAGGATGGAGAGGCAGGTGGTTCTTGGGAGTTGGACGGGGGGGGGGTTGAAGGTGGATGGGTTTTTGGTGATGGGTTAGGGGAGGGGCAGGCTGAGTTGGGTGGTGGACGAGGGGGGAGTGGAGGTGGAGGGTTTCTTGGTGCTGGGTTAGGGGGGAGGTGGGCTAAATGAGCAGGAGAGGGGGGTGGAATACTTATGGGGTTAGAGGAGGGACGGGTGGATTTTGTGGGAGAATTTGAGTTGGACGCCCTAGGTGGCTTTGGAGGTACGTATGGGGAGTAGTTTTGAATGTTAGATAGGACTCTTGATCTGGCTACAGTGGGTGTGAGAGGAATAGTCTTCATCGCCGATCTTATCATGCCTGCAGAGTGTTCCGGTAAATCCAGTAGTGAAGGCGGGGATAGAAAACAAAGGGAAAGGTCGTCCTCATTTTCCCTAGATGGAGTGGATGTAGCGGGGGGGACCCAAGCCGGGTCCATGGAAGGTGATGAGGGAGTCTTTGGTGGAGACAGAGGTGGTTGAGGAACCCCCAGTACAGGCCTGACTGTAGCCTGGAGCAGTGGGGGAAGCTTCACGGGAGCTGTAGGTGGGGAAGGTGCTGCTGAAGATGATGGAGCAGCCACTGCTGCTGCTGTATCCACTGCTGCTGCTGAAGATGATGGAGCAGCCACTGCTGCGGCTGTATCCACTGCTGCTGCTGAAGATGATGGAGCAGCCACTGCTGCGGCTGTATCCACTGCTGCTGGTGGTGCTGTATATGCTGATGGCGCTGATGAAGATGTGGCAGCTGCTGATGATGCTGGTGGTTGAGGCGTTGAGCTCTTTCGAAGCCGTGGAGGTGTTGAGTTCTTTTGGAACCTTGGAGGTGTTGAGTTCTTCTTGAATCGTGGAGGTGTGGAGTTCTTTTGAGGCGGTGGGGGTGCAGAGACCTCGGGAGTCGGTGGAGATGGTCGTGATGTCTGTGCCCTTTGATTCTTCTTTCTCCCTTTCGACGGCTGCACGCGCTGCGCAGGCTGAGGTCTTAGGGCAGATGCAAAGTTATCCATCAGCACTTTTACTCCGTAGTTGTTCAGATGTGGGCCTTTTTCTTCAAAAAGCTCGTGCCTATTCCAGAACAGATTAAAGTTTTCAATGAAGCCAAGTCCTCTGCGTGAACACTCATTGAGTAGGAATGTATTTAGCTGATACAGACGGCTAAACTTCTCCATTTTTCCATCTATATTTGGAAGTGGGCCACTAAGGAAAATTGTTATGTCCATTTTCTTGAGGTCATCCAGTAACAGCGTTAAATCCATTCGTAACTTCTCGCTTGCCTTCTCATAGATATCTACCGCCCCCGTGTGGATCAATAATGTACGCACACCACTGTTCTCAGATAACACTTTAGGCAGAAGAGTTCTTATCTCAGCAACTTTTGCAGAGTGAACTGAGATAGTGAGCATGGACTCCATGTTTACATTTTTCACCGAAC